CTCTCTCTCTCTCTCTCTCTCTCTCTCTCTCGCCCCTCTCCCATCTGTCTATGTTTCGTAATGAAACAATGGGTTCATTATTGTAATTACTTAACAATTCATTTGTGTTAAGTAATACAACCAATATATAAACACAAATCAATAATCGTGTATTGAATGCATACATTTTTTGTACAATTAATGTAATGTTTGACTTTGTGTTAAATTGACAAAAGATATGCCTTTTAATTACATGTATTAACACATGTGATGTCACATTATTATAAAGTGCACAAATAAACATAACGGAGGGAATACCGATGATAAATTATGATTGGTACATTTAAAAATATTGAAAATGCTCCAAAGTTTGGATTCATGAATAATACAGAATATTCTATGAATTCAATATAACAAACTCAATGCAAGACAAATAAAAACAGTGAAGTCTTTACAAAATGGTTTTGTTAAATATTACGTGCATTTTATTGCATATAAAAAATAAATTTGATTAAATGAAAGACACATATAAGTGGTTGAATTGAATTGACCATGCTTAATCATGATGCTATGAGACAACTTGGTGATAAACTCGCAATTCATATGATGTTGGTTATCCAAAGTTTTACTATTATAGCCATCTATTGGTAAAAAATGTTATAAAAATACAACTTTTCAAGAATTGACAAATTTTTTTGTAAACAAATGAATTGAATTTTATTATTAAATGTTTTTGTGAAAACTCTTTTGACAATAAAAGCCATTGAAATGATTGTTAAATATTAATAATGAAACCAATGATTACATGACATGACATCATATGAACGAATGGTTTGTTATAAAGTATGTATTTATGTATTTAAAAACACTTTCCTAACAGTAAAACACTATTCACTGTCTGTTAAAAAGATTGTATTTTAGTTTTGAACTAAAAATGAAGTTTTAAGACTTGAGACTAAAACTATGTGTCAAATATAGTGAATATTTTTCTAACTTTGATTTTTTAAGTGTAAAATAGTTGAACACATAAACTAATTGTGTTTAGTCCAGAACTCATTATTACCTTATATTTGATTGGCATTCAATAGTTGATGTTGAATGAACATTGTTCATGGTCACATTCAGTGCACTTCAATGCAAACATTGCATAGTTTGAGCAATGTCATTTAGAAAAAAAATTATTAAAATAGAATATTTTAAATTTTTAAATAATCATGTTAGTTTTATATTTGCTTTTTTCTGTGAATCTACAATTGCCTTTAAGTTAACATTAAATGAAACCCAGAATTGTTTTAAAAAATTAAATTGGTGATGCTATGTTAGTAACTTAAAGTTACATGTTACACAAAACTTTACACTTACATGTACATTTATTGTTATTTGATGTAAGAGACTTTCAGTTACTTTCGTTTATTGCAAACTAAATACACTTCAAAAATATGATACCACTAGCTCGAACAATAGATAATGTACCATGATATTCAATGTAGATAACCCCTAATGATTACACGATTACTCTGTTATAAAAGTTTTCTCATTTGTATTTATGAAGCGCTTATAATAATGGATACATTTTCTCAACAATTTTGTGGCACAAAGTTTTGGGTATAGTTTGCGCTCTTTATATACAGTTGTTGTCATATAAATAGCATTTTAATTAATCAATACATTACTGGTTGGCATCTAAATGACCCCAAATGGCCTCAAATGGGTGACAGGACTCTAACCTTAGCTGGTATTCAAACCGCCCTCAACTCACCGTTTGCTTTGAGGACACGGCTCTGGTATGGCCTCCCATACTATTTCTATGGCTATTGTCTTCCTATGAAATATACAGAATCGTCAACACTTCCCATAATAATACCATTCCTTGGAGTGCCTTAAATGTGACCAAAATTGTGAGTAAATACAGTATATCCTTGTAGTTAATCCCAGCTATAAATCAATCAAAACTCAATTTCAACCCATTATTTAAATTATTGAGCGCTTTGTTTGCTAATTATATTTGCCATTCATTTGAATCACACATTTTTCTTGAACACACATTTCTATATAATTTTATTCACACACAAAATGAGTGCTATTAAAATGCTTTACATTTTTATGACAACCCATTAAAGGTTGTTATAAACACAATTATCCCCGATATTTACTGCACTAATGATTTACATATAATTTAATCTTAATGTGTATTAACTAATTCTCATATTAGAAAATTTTGTTAAATTATAAATGTTTTTTTGTGCAAATTATATCAATATTTGTTTAAATGCCAGAATATTCTATAAGTAAAGTTTTGCCCTCAAAATGATTTATAGCTCGCATATAAATATAGTAAACATTTTCTATAAAACTTGTACTAAATTAGATGTTTATTTTGTTTTATTCAACATAAATGGACAGATATTATCCATATTATTACTGGTATTAAGTATCTGTGATTTAATTCATGGGTTAATATCGTTGTATTACTGGCCTGACATCACTTTTGCCGTTTCATTCATCACTCCATTACTAAAAACTATAACATTTGTGAGCATTTACTTTAGCCATACATTGCAGTAATAGTTATGTCAAGAATAATGGCCTAACACTCTTATCAATAGATTCTAACGACACTTATTCTGTATTACAATCGGATTAAAGGATTGAATCGATCCATTGTTTTATTCTTGTTTTGGTTTTTGTTATCCATCGCCTGTGCCATCACTTCTCGCTCACTATATTTGATCGTATTTTCAAATGTATTCATTTATTTGATTATATATTTTCGGTTGTTTTATGACATTAATTGCATTTAAAGGCAGAATACGATGGATTTACCGACGACTTTAGGTTTGGCACAAAAGCATTGTTTGTGGCCATCGTTTTCACTCAATTCTTTCTGTCGTGTTTTGTAGACCCGATACATGGCTTACAGGAAGTATGCAAAACATATTATGAATCAATTAATTAGTTGATCACAATTATAACAAATACAGTTATAGGCATTTCCCATATTTTATACATTACTTTTTATGTAATGTGAATCATATTATGTGATACTACAGTGATACTACAATAACTGTAGTATTGACAGTTTAATTGATTATTTACTGCATTTTATATTTTATTTAAACCATGAAGAAAGAAAGTCTAGAACCCTCGGCATCAGTGCTCTCATTATTGACATTTTGGTGGATAAATCCATTGATATTCTTAGGCTATAAAAGAGCGCTCACTTCAGAGGATTTGTGGGAATTGAGTGAAGAAAATAAAACAGAATATAATTCCGAGTTATTTAAGGAACGGTTGCGACAAAACCAGCGGATAAACCGAAAGGGAATTCTTGGACCACTTCTCACAACTTATTGCTTTTCTATCGCTTTTATAGTTGTATTGAAGTTTATCCTCAGTTTCCTTCCGTATGTGAACCCATCGGTACTTAATTGGCTCATAGACTACATGAGCGAAGGGAACACAGAACCGGAATGGCGGGGATATCTCTATGCGATCATTATGTTTATGTCACCAATGATTGAATCGCTGATTGCGACTCAGTATGACTTCTACGACGCTATCGTTGCCCTCAGAATCAGATCGTGTTTAACAAATGCTATCTATAAAAAGGTATTTCCATTTGGATTAAGACTCCTTTAGTACTATTGTGAGACACAATCATTTACTATACAAATATACTGTACTATACATATGTGTGCAGAGTCTCCGGTTGTCGAGCGCCGGACGAAATGACTTTACGATCGGTGAGATTATAAATCTCATGTCTATCGATACGCCACGGATTGCAGAGTTGGTGCAGATAGTGAACGAGACGTGGTCTGCGCCCCTGCAGATCATATTTGCCATGTATTTATTGTGGCAACAGTTAGGGGTTGCGGCCATCGCTGGTACGAGTTTTCGCTAATTTCTATCATAAAATCTAATGACAGGCCATCGCATGACATGAGCTAATAATACTTCCCATTGGGTTTGATCCAAAATTAGGTCTGGTAGTGATGTTACTCCTTATACCAGTGAATGGTTATATATCAGGAAAGTTGCGATTCATTACAAGCCATCTCATGAAATACAAAGACAAGAGAATCAAATTAATGAACGAAATCTTGTGCGGCATTAAAGTGTTGAAACTGTACGCATGGGAGCCATCATTTGATGACCAGGTTATGCATAAACGCGACCACGAGATCAAACAGTTAACCACAAGAGCCTATGTTATGAGTGCAATGATTTATGTCTTCTATTTGGTACCATATCTGGTCAGTAGTGGTGTTTTGTAACTCAAATACATGAATAGCCATTATTTGCCATTAGTCTGTCACACATATTGTATATATAGGTAGCGGTGACTAGTTTTATGACATTCGTGTGGATCAGCTCATCAAATGTGTTGACCCCTCAGAAGGCGTTTGTCTCTCTCGCTCTTTTCAATCAAATGCGGTTCCCATTGAAGGACTTTCCGCGACTCATCTCTTTCTACGCTTTGGTCTGTTGTTTAATAATGGATAAGACATTTGCATTCAATACTAATCGCTTTGTGTTTTGCATTTGGGAATAGTTTTCAGTCTCATTGAAACGCATTAATAAGTATATGTCTGGCGATGAGATCGACTCCGAGTCTATCACATATCGTATTAACAGCAATGAGGCTATAGTTGTAGAGAAGGCCTCCTTTAGTTGGAAACGAGGAGAGAGTGCTATCCTCTCTGATATATCACTTACTGTACCTAAGAATCAGTTGATAGCAGTGGTGGGTCAGGTCGGCGCAGGAAAGTCATCCCTTTTGTACGCTTTATTGGGAGATATGTTTAAACTGAAGGGAAGTATTAATATAAGCGGCAAAATAGCGTACGTTCCCCAACAGGCGTGGATTCTGAACGCGTCTCTCAAACAGAATATTGTTTATACGAGCGATGAAAACGATATCAAACTCAACACAATTCTCGAGAAATGCGCTCTTCTTCCCGATCTGGAAGTGCTTCCGGGCGGACACAACACAGAGATCGGCGAAAAAGGCATTAATTTGTCGGGTGGGCTCGTATTCTCCAATACATTAGATCACTATTAATATGCATTTAATGCCTAAAACAGGGGGACAGAAGCAGAGGGTATCGATAGCGAGGGCCTGTTATTCTTCAGCTGATATTTTTCTATTGGACGATCCGTTGTCCGCATTGGACGCCAATGTAGTCAAACACGTGTTCAACGAAGTGATTGGACCAAATGGTATGCTTAAGGATAAGACCAGAATTCTGGTAACGCATCGCATATCAGTGTTGTCTGAATGCGACCAAATTGTGGTCATGAAAGACGGACTCATCTCCGAAATGGGCTCTTATAAGCAATTATTGGAAAATAGAGGAGATTTCGCAGAATTTCTTATGTCTCACATTAATGAAGGAAATGATGAGGACATCGATGAGGAAGAACTCAAACTTCTTGCAGATGTGGTTAACAAAGACAGTATTATTAGGCAGAGATCAAACACTAGGAGCTCCGGTAGCTCTTCGCTGAGGCAACGAACGATTAGCAACGCATCCAAAATAAGTGCAAATAAAGAGATTAGTAAATCAATGCCAAAAGAAGAGGCGAAGAATATTTCAAAGTTAATTGAAGCCGAAAAGTCTGAAACGGGATCCGTTAAGCTGTCTGTGTATTGGGATTATCTTCAGAAGATTGGTCTATTAGGTGCCTGCGGTGTCCTTCTGGCACATATGGGCGCCATTTCATTGAACATAGGGTCGAGTCAATGGCTATCCATTTGGAGCGAAGATTCTAATGATCCCAAACTAGTGAACGACACTCAACTCCGAGACACAAGACTCGGAATATACGCTCTGTTGGGCTCCGGAGAGTCCATAATGTTGTTTATCGCAACCCTAACACTCAATTTGGCGACAATAAGAGGCGCCCGACTGTTGCACAGAGATATGTTGGACCACATATTTCGGGCGCCGATGTCCTTCTTCGACACGACACCAATGGGTCGAGTGTTGAATCGTTTCGCCCGAGATATCGACGTTTTAGACACTCAATTGGACGTCAATATCCGAAATGTGTTGACACAGATCTTTCGAGTCTTATCGGCGTTAGTGGTGATGGCTTTTGTGGTGCCGATAGTACTGGTGTTTGTGCTTCCACTCGGACTCGTATACCTGATAGTACAGCGCCTATACATTCCCACATCGCGACAGTTGAGGCGAATAGAGTCGACCACTCGATCGCCCATTTATTCATATTTCTCGGAAACACTTTCGGGTGCGACCAGTATTAGGGCATTCGGTTCGGGCGACCGGTTTGTGGACGAGTTTAACAAAAAGATTGACTTAAATAACACGAGTTCTTTTACCACAATATTGGCCACTTGTTGGCTATGTATTCGTTTGGAATTTTTAGGCTATTTAATAATATTTATCAATGCCTTATATGCGGTCCTAAACCGACACACATTAAGTGCCGGCGCCGTCGGCCTAACGATGAGTTACGCGCTCACAATAACTCGTGCCTTAAATTACTTGATTATTGTGGTCACTTATTTGGAGACCAATATTGTGTCCGTTGAACGTTGTCTTGAATACACACGCATTCCGGTTGAGGTAATACTCAATGAAATTACTCAACGATATTAATAATATATTCAATGATATATTCAATTGATTGAAAGGCATTGCAACGCAAACCCGAGACCCGACCTGACGACGGGTGGCCACAGAAAGGTTGCATCACTTTTGAGAATTATAGCACCAGATATAGGGATGGATTGGATCTGGTCTTGAAGAAGATATCATTGACTATAAATGGGGGAAAAAGAGTGGGAGTAGTCGGCAGAACAGGTGCCGGAAAGTCGTCGCTAACGTTAGCTCTGTTTCGACTTATAGAGCCGGTCAATGGACTCATTGACATCGATGGCATAGACATCAGTGCTATAGGTTTGTATGATTTGCGGTCTCGGGTAACAATCATACCTCAAGATCCGGTGCTCTTCACCGGTACTTTGAGATACAATTTGGATCCGTTTGACACGTACTCAGACTCCGAGATATGGTCGGCACTAGAATTGTCTCATTTGAAGACATTTGTTGGTTCATTGGATGCCGGACTCGACCATATGCTGGCCGAAGGCGGCGATAATTTGAGTGTCGGTCAAAAGCAGTTGGTATGCCTCTCGCGAGCGCTGTTACGCAAATCCAAGATCATTGTGTTGGATGAGGCGACCGCTGCCGTCGATATAGAAACCGATGACTTGATTCAGAGCACTATAAGGACTGAGTTTAATGAGTGCACTATTGTTACGATCGCTCACCGATTGAATACAATTCTTGATTACGATATGATTGTTGTGTTGAATAGAGGAGAAGTTGCGGAATACGATTCTCCCAAAGCTCTACTCAGACTGAGTTTAATGAGTGCACTATTGTTACGATCGCTCACCGATTGAATACAATTCTTGATTACGATATGATTGTTGTGTTGAATAGAGGAGAAGTTGCGGAATACGATTCTCCCAAAGCTCTACTCCAAAATACCGACTCTATATTTTACTCGATGGCCAAGAGTTCAGGGCATATCTGATACAATGTGGTCATCATTTGCACAAATAGCTGTCCTATTGTCATGTCTTGTTTTTTAAGTGAGATTTTATACACTTTTAGATTATATTTTCATATCACAAATTATTTTCATAAATATTTTTCAAATTTATAACTTAATAAACTACCGGTAATTTGTATGGGATGTGTGCTGATAAACATAATGTGCAATTTTATATCCATAGTATTAATGTTAAAATGATTATTACCGGTAAATTAAATATTTAAACTCAATTATACAGTGATTATGTTTACAACTTTATTGTATAATGTAAAAATATATTCTAAATAAAACATTTATATGAATAAATATATACAGAATTGGTTAATGAATTGAATGGATTCGACAATAAAATGAATTTAAAATCAAATAATTACAAAATAATTAGAAAAACAAGCAATAGTTTTCACAGACATTGGCCACAACATGGGCTCACCAGTCGGCTCCTCCTGAGGCCAAGTAGTCTTTGCGGCCAACACTGGCCGACTGTTTGTTCTGCACGGCCTCTAATTTGGGACAATTGGTGATCCGATGACCCAAACCTCCACAATAAGAACAGCCCCTCTCGTCGCCCAAATCCAAGTACTTTTCCGATTCTGTTTGAAGCGCTTCCAGAAATGGCGGTAACTTTTGTTTGGCTTCGAGTAACAAGTGTTTTAAGTCCAACAAAACCGACTCATCGATAGATTTATTGATAAAAGTGGTGGCAATTCCTTTGTTGCCGTAACGACCCGTTCGACCGATTCTATGGACATAGTCTTCAATGTCGTCGGGCATATCGTAATTGATTACGTGTTTAATCTCTTGAAAGTCGAGACCCTTTGAGGCGACATCAGTGGCGACCAACACATCTTTCTCGCCGCTCCTAAACTCGGTCACAGAACGTGATCTTTCCTCTTGATCTTTGCCGCCGTGAATGGAAACCGCTTCCACGCCTTTTAGTAATAGATACTCATGAATGGCGTCCACGTCTTGCTTCTTCTCGGCAAACACAAGAACCGGCGGTTCAGTCTTCTGGAGTGTGTCCAACAAATGGACAATTTTTGCCTCTTGTTTCACGTACTCGACCTCCTGTTCCACGTCTTTGGATGCGGCGCCGGCTCTGCCGACGTTGACAGTGATTGGCTTCACTAAAGCACTTCTCGCAAAGTTTTGAATCTTCTTCGGCATCGTTGCGGAGAACAGTAGTGTCTGTCTCTGGCCTTTGAAATACGAGAATATAGTCCAGCTCTGCCGACGTTGACAGTGATTGGCTTCACTAAAGCACTTCTCGCAAAGTTTTGAATCTTCTTCGGCATCGTTGCGGAGAACAGTAGTGTCTGTCTCTGGCCTTTGAAATACGAGAATATAGTCCTGACGTCCTCTTCGAAGCCCATATCGATCATACGGTCCGCTTCGTCGAGAACGAGGTATCGACACACCTCTAAACTCACCGTTTTCTTAGACAACATATCCATCAGCCGTCCGGGCGTTGCGACCATTATATGAACGCCGCGTCTGATTATATCGATCTGGTCTTTGACCGAAACGCCGCCAATGCATAGACAGACCCGAAGTGATGGCATTCCGCTGTTCGTCAGAGTTTCGCAATAGTATTGGATTATTTCAAACGTTTGTTTCGCTAATTCACGGGACGGGCATATAATCAGACCATACGGTCCCTCGTCTTTGATGAACGTGAGGGCCATCTCCTGTTCCATCGAAAACATCACAATCGGCAGCACAAACACCAGTGTCTTTCCCGAACCGGTGAACGCGATGCCAATGATATCACGACCGGACAGTACGGCCGGCAATCCCTGTATCTGAATGGGCGACGGGTCGACGATTCCCTTCTTCTTAAGCGCACTGAGAATAGATTTGGGAAATTTCATCTCTTTGAACGATTTGATTGGTTGGGGTTTGTCTTCGCCCTCAACCAGAATGCGGTTCTTTTCGCGCAACGCCTCGTGTTTGGCTTCGGAGGCGTCGCGTATGTGTTTCGGTGGTCTCCACGCCGTCTTAATCGGGTCCTCGTATTGGATACCTTTGGCCAACTCTGAGACGGCCATCAAAGCCTTGTGTTCGGCCACACTCTCCAATATCTTCTCCTCTTCTTTCAGCTGTTTCTCAATCGCCGACTCCTTCTTCAGCTCAAACTTCTTCTTGAGTTCGTTGTGTTGGTCTAAAAGACTGACATTATATTTGCGCCAATCGTCCACTTCGTCCGCCGGATTGGCGGCGCTCTTATCGCCGGTCGTGTCAACCGCTGTCTGGTTGTCATCCAAACCGGTTCTCGTGAAAAGCAGTAGGCAACTCTGGTTCAGAAATTGAGAACTCCGCACTCAAACACAGTTGGGAAAGGCAGAGACAAACTGGCCTTATATGCCGTGCATTAGCAGCAGGCTGAGAAGCCGGTGAAGAAGCTCCTCTTGTCGACGATATCTCTGTTTTTTGTGTTCAAAACCAATCAATTTATTAGTAATTCAATGCAATTGTTGTCACCAATCAATACATACTTTGATCTGTGGTTTGTCTTCATTGCCATTACTTTCACTCATTTTTATTCACAAAAATTAAAACCAATTTTCAAATGATTTTTAAATCAAGTCTTAAATGAAAACAATATTTCGTTTGCGAAACGAAAATGTGTTCAAAATATTTGCCGTAATTTATGTGACATTTCATTGGTTTCACACAATATTCATAGAAAATCATTGTTTTCTCCATTAATAACGTGTTGTAAATATTTTGTCACAAAAAATGCATTGAAAAATGAAAACGTGTTTAAAACAGGCTTTCAAGCTAGACGTCTACAAGCGATAGAATTGTGGTACAAAAGTGGTATATAGTGTGAAAAGTTGTGCTACTCATGTACCCTCACTCAATGCTATGATATGCTGTGCACTCATAAACCGCTCGCATTATTTTCATAGTGTTATGCAATACTGACTGTAATCGATAAACAGCACTACTGAGCAGTGGTGTGAGTAGCCAGACATTGAGTGATAAGCAGATTCAATGCACTGTCAATGCTAGCCATAACATCACGAAAATAATGCGGTATTTATAGCTATGCTGACTTACATCAAACCTTGTTTTTCATTATATATAAAGCCTTGTCAAAGGCAGGGATGAATGCTAGGCTTAACAGTGCAACTACGACTACAGTGCTATCACACGTGAGCAAAATTTCATCGGGGGAAAGGACTGAGGAGAGGGGGGTAACGAAGCCCNATAAAGCCTTGTCAAAGGCAGGGATGAATGCTAGGCTTAACAGTGCAACTACGACTACAGTGCTATCACACGTGAGCAAAATTTCATCGGGGGAAAGGACTGAGGAGAGGGGGGTAACGAAGCCCTGGTTTAAAATGTGCTTAAAATGTGTTTTTTGTAATCAATTAATAAATGAAATGTTTTATGAATTTTATAATTAATTAATTGAAGAAATGAAACGAATTTCGGATAAAAAGTTAGAAAAACTCGAAAACAAAAAGAGAAAAATCAAATCATTTTTGGATTCAATTGACGACAACTGTGTGGACACGACTCCAGCCGAGGATAACACCGATGTCTTCACTTCGGGTTTCAAACAGATGTCTGAATTGAGGAAAAAGCTGTCCATAAAGTTGG